GGGCGGCCCCCCCCGCCACTGGAACCGTATTTAGGGACAGTTCCAAAATAGGTCTGGAGAAAAAAAAACACAACAAAAACAACTACTGGATTTCTGTTTTGGAAGAAGCTGGAATCGCGACTTGAGCTTCTGATGAATTAAAGCTTCTGCGTTGGAGCTGCGCAGGTTGACCGAGGGTGATCCGGCTGACCCACCCATGAGTGACAGGCTTAAGGAACGGACCAGGCAGCGTTGCTTTGACGCTTGCCCTTTAGTCTCCAAAAGATCTGCGTTGTGATCACAGGAGACAGACCTCCAGTTTCCTGTGACAGCGAGATTACCCAGGCATTTTAGAGCCAAGGCGGGTCAAATGATAATTGCTTCTAATTGGCATGCCCAGAAGCACCTTAATTATTTATCTGCAGCTGTCACTCAAAGAACGAAATCCTTCCTGTATGTAGAAAATTGGTTTTATTCCACAGACTTATTTTAAGACTTAGAAATCAAAGTCCCAAAGCAGCAAGAGCAAAAAAGATGCACGAGATGCTAATTTACCAGCTCTCATTGTTAAGTGTCTCCTTTTAGAAAATGCAAACGGAGGCTGTCACGTGAAAAGGTGAAACCTGTAGAGAAGGGGTGACAAAGAACGGGATGGTAGATGTCTAATTAAGATCCAGAAGTGAGAAAATGGGGTAATAGGAGAATGTCTAAAACGAAAGAGAACAAACGGCAGGGCCTGGAGAATTCAAGACCGAAAAGAATTATAGTATCTGTGAACCTCAAAGCGACATAGACTAATGTATACTCATAGGAGAGTATGACCAACTCTGTGAGTAAATAAATGTTTGGTTGAACTTTTCAGTATAAAAACACCTCTTAGTAAACTCGAGGTGGATTGCAGCTTCTCGAGATTTAGGCTTAGTTTGATGGCTACTAACAGTTTCATTTTCAAAGCAAAGCAAGCAAAGTACTAAACCAAAGTTTAACTTCCCTACCAGTGATATGATTGGGATATTCTTTTAAAAGGTTAATATGCAAAATTTACAACCTGTCCTTTTTATGTTACCAAATATGATTGTTGAAATTTAGGAATGGTATAAGTACTTGGTTTGTTTTAAAAGTGTCATTTAGAAACAAGTTGAATTGTGGTGACTGTTTTATCATGAGGCTCATGTGATGTTCAGTGTATCTGGCAGGAGAGACTACAAGGCATATTATCAGATGGCTTCCTGACCTTTAAGAAATATATGAGGAGAAAGAGAACATATTAATCTCTGACCTCCCACCCTAACTGGCCATCATTATTTCATTGGAGAATTCAAAAGTTCAGGTTCAATTTTTTTGCCATTTGAATTGGCAAGCTAAATTACCCAGTGGCGTTTTTTTTTTTTAATTACATTTATTTATTGTGTGTGGCTAGGTGCATGTCACCATCACCTCTGTTTGTGGAAGTCCAAGTGGTTCTCTTTCATCACATGGGTCCAAGGGATGGAACTCGGGTCAGATGGTCAAACTTTGTAGCCATTGCCTTAACTTGTTAAGCCATCACAAGGCCTCACTAACATTTTTTTTCCCCTGAAAGGCATAATTACTACCTGGGAACTAAAAAGGAATGCAAAACTAAGGAAAAATAATAACATAGACATGAGCTGTGCAATGAATCTGAGTATTAATGGGTACCATGAAGCAGGGGGATGAGGGACAATTACTACTCTAATGCAGCACCTGACTTAGGCTTCCTCCTTCACAGGCAAAGCGCGGGCTCAGTGATGAGGTCAAATTCACCAACAACCACCTCTCAGATAATGGCAAGAAAGAAAAGGAGAGGGGTAAGTGAACCTGTCTCTTTAATGCCATACCATCTAGAACTCTATAGCTGCTGCTGTTTTCCTGCCCTAAATGATGTTGCTGAATTCATAACTTTTGTTTTGCTTTCTTTCGGATAGATAATAGAAAAAAGGCGTCGGGATCGAATAAATAACAGTTTATCTGAGTTGAGACGGCTAGTGCCAACGGCTTTTGAAAAACAAGTAAGTTACCCGCCACCCCCAAGCTCAAAGAATCTGATTTCTCATCTGGAAATGTGGACTCTTGCTGAAGCTCACTAAAATAATTGTGTGTGCGCCCCGATCCAGCAGAGAACAGCCATTTCAATAAAATGCTTTGTTGTGGCCAAACTATTAAAAACATAATCCATCATGAAGTTGAAAACATTTCCATTCTTCAGCTTATTTTCCCCTTAAGGGTAACAGGACTCATGCTTTCTCTGTTCTTTCTTTGAATCCAGCAGGGATTTTGTTTAAAATTGTGCTGTATGTAGTATTCTTGAAAAGAAATGTATCATTCGTGAAATATCATTTTTCCCCAAAACTTTGAAAGTACACTTAAAAAAAAAATCAAAGTCAAGGAAGTAAAGATTCTATTTTGGTTCCCTAAATTATACTAATACAATTTATGTAGCAAGCCACTTTCGTTTTTAATTCTTGGATTAATAGAACATTGTTTGATTTGGGACATAGTTTGAATTTGGTAAAAATCAAATTAGTCATAAATGCTGCTTTTCAAATTTCAAGTATTCCTTTACATAAAAGGGAAAAAGCTTTTGCACATTTGGGAAAGCAGAAAACCAAATACTTACACTTTCTTTCATGGCTTTGAAAGTCTCTTTTTCCGTCTGCCTCACTATGTAGCAGTTTCTGTGCTGAAAATGTTTTCAATTGAGTTCCAAATTGGGTGCAAAACATCAGTTGGTTGTTTATGCCTTTTTGTTGGTTTGTTTACACCGTGATTCTGCAAACATTGTAAAGCAAGCTCCACAGAGCCTTTGGAGACCATCCAGGGTGGCAGTTTGGCACTTTCGCTGCAACTGCTCATATGTCTTTATGGACATGGCGAACAATGAAAAGTACAGGACATGTTATGCTATTGATTTTATATATTTAAGACAAAAAATACATTGTGCAATTCATACACTGAGGTTGTCTTTGATAATTTACCTATACTATAATTATATTGCTGATTAGTAGGCTGCAAATGAAAATGGCAATAACCTATGACTTTTTTTTTACTTGTTTTGAGTACAGAACTATCTACATTGTAACATTAATAAGCAGTCACCTGGGTGATTTTTTTTCTTAGTCTTGGTTTGTTAGGCTTTTTTTTTTCATAAATATTGACTTAAACCTTAAGAGCAAGCCTCAGTAGTTGGCAATTAGTTACCATAAACACAAGCGGTCCCATTTACAAAATCTGGCTGCCAACCCTAGTGAGCTGGCCCTGTCACAATTAGAGGAGAAGAATATTCTTCAGAACAGCTAAAGGACTGAAACTTCTATTTACTGGGTGCTGGTAATTTAATAAATAAATAAATAAATTTTAAAACTACCAACTATAGGAATCTAGGAACTTAGAATAAATGTCAGGACTCTTTCACACACACATCAAAAGAACAACAACAACAACAAACCAAATATTGGTTTAATTATTCCCCTCTGCTAAGAAGTTAGTTAGAAGCCACCACAGCCCCCAAGACACGCTAAGTGACACATTTGTTTCAGTTGGTTTTCAAAGGTTGCTTTAAGAAGAGGAGCAATGAAAATGTATTTGCCAGACTATTTTATTAAGAGCAGTTTTGAATGATTGGAAAATCATTGGGCATGTATGATGCTCTTTAAGTAAACTGTGAATTAGTCCTTTTTGTTTGTGATCTTAGGATTCACAGTGACACCTGCTGGTAACCTTGAAAGTCCTTTCCTATTTTGTTTCCTTTACTCACGGTATCTATAAGAGATCCAGCACAAAGTCTGAGAGTTTTGCAGTTGGTGTAGTGTTTGTGGGGTGATCTTAGGAACATAATTGTTCTTACTGTTTAACAAATCATTTCTTCGGTGCCTTATTCTGGTCTTTAGCATCACAAGCTGACATCATCGCTATGCCATAGTAACTGGTACTTTTATACAAAGTTTAGAAAGACTTCAGAAGCTGTTGAGATGGCTCCAAAGTTAAGAGAAGGGACAAAACTTGATCCCAGCACCCACACTGGGTGGCTCACAACAGCTTTAACAGTTTCTGCTGCCCTGACTTGCATAGTTACCTGCCACACACACACACACACACACACACACACACACACACTTAAAATGTAAAGTAAAAGAAATTCATCTTTTTTTTCTGTGATGACATTAAACATAGAATTTTATAATGATAGGCAAAATTGGAACTGGAGTACTAAGTTCATTATATAAAGTACCAAGTTAGTTTCTGCAGGACTCATGAGGCTTTGTGATTTTATTCTGAAGGGATCTGCTAAGTTGGAAAAGGCAGAAATATTGCAAATGACTGTGGATCATTTGAAGATGCTTCAGGCAACAGGGGGTAAAGGTAAGAGCTGGCACCATTGTTCACCCCTTTTACCTTTCTCTTTTCATCTTTTCCCTCTACTATTCTAAGGAAGTTACAGTTGAACAGCCCCCTAACAAGCTGAGATAGGCAGCCCCAAATTAAAGCAGTGCAATCAAGCTAATGGCAGGATTGAACTCCTGGGAAAGGACTTCTAGAACAAAAGAAGCACTTGATCCTGGATTTGTGTTTGCTTCCCTAATACTGTGGGAGTAAAGCTTCCTTCACAGCAGCCTGGCCAGAGGTTTGTTTGGGATTTGAGAAGTGCAAGCTAGACTCTGCCCCAAAACCAAACCAAACACACAAACAGCCAATTATAAGCAAAACGAAAAGAAGCCACACTTCCATCCTTATTATCAGTGGGCTCCACATGCAACTGCACAATGAATGTGTGTGTGTGTGTGTGTGTGTGTGTGTGTGTGTGTGTGTGTGTGCCTCACACACACTTTTATTAAATCAAGGCTAAAACTGAAATAATTTAGCTATTTAAAGGAAGTGACTCTAGAATTATTTTCATCGTTTCCCAGACCATTTTGGCCTGTCATGACTTTACACCAACCACAACATTTGAAGTACAGGTACCAAATCTCTACTGGAAAGAACAATGTAACAGGCTGTTCCTGGGGAGAACTCACCAGAGTATATATCCAGAACTGGCCCCATGCCACCGTAGAATGTCCCCTGTACTGGACAGTACATCATGGAAAAATTATCAGGTCAGAGTAGGACCCTCATACTAAAGATGGATGAAACTGTGAAGGCTGTAATATTCACTCACTTTTCCTTATCCCACTTGCTCCCACCTCACTTGGACTTCATGTTGCCCTTTTATAGCTTTTTCACTCTTTATGGATGCCTTTGAGATTCATCTCAGTCAGGTATCTCTCACAACTGAATAAAGAGAAAGCTTCCAGAAGTTCAGTGCTGCAACTGAATGCTGAAGGCCTCCTTGATACATCATACATAGGCTTCCTCAATAGTCTGCAGGTCCTAGATCTGGGCAAGGCAGGGCAGGGCAGGGCAGAGCGGGGGGGGGGGGGGGGGGGGGGGAGAGCACAGGAAATTAGAGGCAAGTCACTTTTACTAATCTGAAAACAGATAAAACATTAGCCTTGACCCAAACCATCTTCTACTCATGTCAGTAGAGGAGATTACTATACATGATGTCCATATGGTATATTTACCTCAGGTCACAATGACTCAAGAAACTGTCTCGAATGAAGAATAGCATAGGATGCAAATATTCTTATAACATAGGCATTAATGGTTAAATCTTAGAAGTCAGTTGTCCCATCCAACTGGACTACAACCTTTGACCTGAGTCAGAAGTCACCTGCTGGTCTCCGGGGGTTAAGGTAGCAGAATAAGTTCCACAGGCCCTAAGTAGTGTGACAGCCTCTACACCTGCCACCTTAGGATTTCAGGAGAGCAGTGAAGTTAAGTGTGGTACAAGGAAAGCTATGTGATTACTCTATTTTCCCTGTAATTGGTATCTATGAGGTGTAAGCTTTGAACAAGAGGAGATGCTATGTTTGCTCACATGCCCAGACTCCCGGCTGCATCTAGTGTAGTGGCAAAGAACATGGACCCTAGAGCAGTTCCCTGATTGTGACCTATGCGTCTCCAGTGCATTAGCTCTGTCACCAGGGCCAAGTTAAGTAATAGCAGAGCACCAGTTTTTATCATTTGTAACACAGAGACAATGATGAAGGGCTCCTCGCAGGTGGTTGTAAATTAATTAGTTGGCTTGAAGACTATAGAACTGCACTGGTATGGATGAAGTGGTTATGGGAACCTGCTGTTGTTGACTCAAGACCCACTTGGAGAAAGCTGCTCGTCATCATTTCCCTCTGCTTCCAGCAATAGAATAGGAGTTACATAATTCATATTCCTTAAGGTGCAGCAAGACCCAGCCATATACAGCAGCATAGCTAGCAAACCTCAAATGTCACTTTACAGCCATCAGTGAAATCCAAATAAGCTAGTGTGTCCCTTTCAGTCTGCCATAGAATTATGGTTTCTATAGAGAGACAAATTCTCAAATGTTCGGTGTCTCTGAACTCTGATCATTACCTCCCTCCTTCTTTTGTGAAACTCAGAAGCTCCTGCCTGATAGGGGCCCTAAAGACTGCCATGTACAATCTCTCTGTTCAATACCTTCACATGGAGGAACTTTTCCTCCCAATCCCAGGGACTTTGCTTAATGACCGCTCCAGGGTATGGGAATGCAAACCAGTTTTACTTCTGACATCCCACCCTTCATGATAGTCTCTTATTCAGCTTGGTGCTGTTTCTGTTTTCCTGATAGTCGTGTTTGCTCCAAACACCTTTTTCCCCCTCACTTCCAGATTGCCCAATAAATATATCAACAATTTTTTATAATCCTTCGATTATAAAGTAGCCTAAAGGAAACAGGCAAATGTTGCTCTGTAAAAGCATGAAATGATATGTTATAAATGCTTTTGATGTCAAGATGTAAAGAAACTAATTTGGATTTGTGGGGTATCTCAGAGGCAGAGGGCTGGCATAGAAGGCACAGGTCCTGGGTCCAATCCTGGAAAAGCCCTGTAAATTACCAATTCTGTGAAACTTTTTCCATTTCTATGAAAAGTATTGTTGAGGAAAGTCATTACCCCACAAGACAAAAGCTAAGACATCCCCTCCCACTCCAGGGGGCATTTGAAACATGAATGTGCCTAATTTATTTTTCCTCTTGCGACATTTAAATCCTAGACTAACTATAGTATTGCTAAAGTTGTCGTGCATTCTACTTGCAGAGTAACCTTTCTTTACTCCTGCAAAAAATCATGGCCGTAGCAGCCATTGTGTTTTCAGAAAGAGCCACCCAAAGACCAGAGTGGTACCTAAGTGTGTGCTTGCTCTTCAAAGCCATTTTTCTTTCTTTTGCCTTCTCACCTCTGCCTCTCCTCATCTCTTCTTCAGGCTACTTTGATGCCCATGCTCTCGCCATGGACTTCATGAGCATTGGGTTCCGAGAGTGCTTGACAGAAGTGGCTAGGTACCTGAGCTCAGTAGAAGGCCTTGACTCATCAGATCCACTGCGCGTGCGCCTGGTCTCTCATCTCAGCACCTGTGCCTCCCAGCGGGAGGCTGCAGTGATGACATCCTCCATGGCCCACCACCACCACCCCCTGCACCCACACCACTGGGCAGCAGCCTTCCACCATCTCCCCACAGCCCTGCTCCAACCCAACGGACTCCACACATCGGAGTCAACCCCGTGTCGCCTATCTACATCTTCAGAAGTGCCTCCTGCCCACGGCTCTGCCCTCCTCACAGCGACATTTGCCCATGCAGATTCAGCTCTTCGGATGCCAACGACAGGCACCGTTGCACCATGTGTGCCACCTCTCTCCACCTCTCTCCTGTCTCTTTCGGCCACTGTGCATGCCGCAGCCGCAGCGGCCACCGCAGCTGCGCACAGCTTCCCTCTGTCCTTCGCAGGGGCCTTTCCCATGCTCCCCTCCAATGCAGCAGCCGCAGTTGCTGCTGCAACAGCGATCAGCCCACCCTTGTCAGTGTCAGCAGCTTCCAGTCCTCAGCAGACAAGCAATGGAACAAACAATAAACCTTACCGACCCTGGGGGACAGAAGTTGGAGCCTTTTAAGTTATTTCTGGCAATAATAACTGAATGTCCATTTCAGAATCAGCTTCTAAACCTCTGCACCCTGAAGGTAGCCATGCTGATACCTACAGAGCCACACAGCAACGATAAAGCGATTTGAGAAGCAAACTTCACAAACGGAAATGTATTATCTGTTTTTCCCTTTGTTTAAGGCAGCTTGGCAACTGACATCAGCAGCTTAAAAAAACGTCACATCTGTTTCCATTTAACCTTTCCCGGAAAATATATGGATGTCACCATTCAGTGGTGCGTCAATACTTCTGACTTGGAAAAGAAACAAAATGCCATAACTGAATTCTCCTGAAATGAGAAGGGAGAAAATTATATATATATATATATATATATATATATATATATATATATATCATGTTTTCTAAGTGCCTGAGCTAAGGAATGTAATGTAGCACAAGATCAGAAGGGCATGGCTGTTAGGTTGAGAAAGGGAGAGAACAGACAGCATGTGTTAGACTGCAGACATAGTGCTCTTTTGAAACCAACAGGTTTTATTGGCCATAAGGATTGATGGAAATTAAGTTGAAAGACATAGTTTTGTCTTTGTCTTCTGTAAGCAGACTTGCCAAGCAGGGATATTTAGCAATGTAAAGAACAATTCCACTAGTGCCCACATTAACAGACATTTCTGCTCTGCCTTCAAGCTCCCATATACTCTAGTGAGACATGGTTTAGGACCCAGCAGTTCTTTCTGTAAACTTACAGTTGTACAATGCACTCCAAAGCAGTTACGTGCTGTGTGTCCACCAGAGTCTCATTGGTGCCAACTCAAAAACTCTTCTGTTAGCAAGTTCAGATTAATTTATTCCGTTACATTTGGCCTGTGTTTATATATTTAACTTGTTCAGTTCTCTCCAGACAACATGTAATGTCTGTTCTTGCCCCTTTGGGTAGGGGGCAATGTTGCATTTCTTGAGGTAATGAGATAAGGACAGAGGATTCAGAAGAGAAAAGCTACATGCTTTAAACGCCCTTGGTCAAGTCAGCGATTGCATTTGATCCCAAATCACAAAGAATGTATGCAATGAAGTGTACATAAATTATTTTTGACCATGCCTAGATTAGAGCTACATAATGGTGTTTTGGTTTTGATTTTTTTATCTTGTTTAAATGACAAAATAATCTCCTAATACATTGAAATTGAGCACGTGAGATTTTATATTCGAAAGACAAAGACACAGCATGTATTCTTATGCACTTCGTTTCTCTGCTGTGTGGAGAAAGCAATAAATGAGAATGTTGAAGATTATGCAAAGTTATACTCATAAATATTTGTTTTAAAATTACTGTATCTAGTCTTTTCTGCATTACTTTGTAACCTTTTTCTATGCAAAACTCTACATTTCACTAATTAAATGAAGTCCTTTTTGACTATTTCATGTGGATGAGTTGCTTTTCAGAATGGCAAGTTGACATGCTTTTCATGTGAGGCTTCCTTTTCTAACTCTTTAAGCCATACTTTTGTTTCATGTGTTTCAAAATCATTTGACAAATGGAATTCACATTTTACTTGAAAATAAACTTTATGGAGCTTATAGATTAAAACATAGTTAAGAATTACAAAGGCAAGGAGTGATCATTTTCCTCTGCCTCTTGTTGCTTCCTCCTTATTTATTTATTTATTGACAGGGTCTTGCTGTGTACCCCAACCTGGCCTGGAATTTGCTATATAGCTTAGCTTGGCCTCAAAATCGAGATTCTGCCACCTCAGACTCATAACAAACAACATCTTTTGATCATAAATACGGCTCTTGGAAAGGTACAAATGTAAGATTTCCAAATAAAAGAATATCAAACATAGAGAAGGAACTAGAATGTGTCATACTGTGTAGCTCAAAAACAAGGCATGTTTCTGGAACATCAGTGGACATGCAATAGGCATGTACATGCATCCTCGTGGTGGTCCTCTATGTCTTTGAAAATTTTGTTGACAATGTGGAGATGTTGTGGTAGTGAACCCATCATCAGAGAAAGCTAAAATCAAGTGAGGTACTAAACCATAGGCCAAAAACCCCAAAATGAATACAAAAATAAAAATAAATCTTTGCATCATTCATATCAAAATGCTCCAATGAAAAAGTTGGTATGGAGGGACTTTCACAGTATTTTGGTTTTGAACAATGAAGTCTACGTATTGTTTGGGGAGGGGTTCTGTCTTGTGAAGCTGGGTACTGCTTTTTGGTGTGATCATTTTCATGTTCATTACAAAAACAAAAAGAACTTGGGCTTTTTAAATATGTTTTAGGGGAAAGCAAACAACTTTAGGTATTGGTTTGTTGGTGAGTTTTATGTAAAAGTTACTTCCAAAATTAATTCAAAGGTATTTTAGTCAAATAAAAGGGAGAAAGGAGCAGTTTGAGCTTTCCCCAAACTCAACAGCTGTGCATGTGCACAGCCAAACATAATTTTGTGTTTCACATCAGCAAGTGTGAGCACAGCCTTGGGCTGTACGCCTCAGGTTTGGGGTAGTATGTGGGAACTGATGCCCTAGGTGATCACAAGGACTTCCAAAGGGTGAGGTATACTGAGATGCTGAGATCTGGTAAGATTGAATGAGGGGTATTGCTCTTCTTGAGATCATTGACAAGTATGACCTTTCTTATTTTATTTGAAGAAATATGGGGAATTTTAAAGCAATGCTGAAACAATAAATGTCCAAGTATTAACTAGATCAGTGCCCACTATGTTCATATGTATTAAGGGATTATAACCTGAAGGAAGCCTTTGGGATATTTTTTAGTATATGTAACTGATTCATTTTGCCAGTCATGAGTTATCTCAAGGCAACAGTAATTATCTTCGAGGCATCATCAGAGAGGATTATGATTTTATAAGTCCCTGTTTACAGGGGTCTAAGTCTCCATCAGTGACCGTTGATTTAGGATCAGTTTTAAGGAATAAGAACTTCTACAATATACACTTCACAGATTGATTATAAAATAGCTTAGTTAAATATAACATGGAAAAATGTATCTTGGGTTTGAACAGACACGCTAACACTTTTTCTAATGATGAACGCAATTTTAGAAGTCAAGGCTAATGGTGTACATAGAGGGAGCTACTTTGGCTTTCCTTCAAATGACTCTGTAAGCTTAATTATCTAAGGATACAGGGGTCTGTTTGTTTGTTTGTTTGTTTGTTTGTTACAATGTTTTAGTTGCCCAGTGACACTGCTTTGACTTCACTTCCTGAAGAATGGTGTTAGGCTTGATCTTGCAGTCCTTCTGAGGTCTAAGCAATTGCCTGAGACTGGGAATATTTCCACAGCTGCAGCAAAGTATCACAGCAAATATGGCTTTTAATCTGGCACTATAGCACTACAGTTCATAATCCTGGAAAGGATACATCTTCATATGTCACTGGAAGATATCACAAAGAAGAAAAGTGCCCTGGGCTAACACAGGCGACCACGTGGGAAGTGGTTCTCTAAGCACAAGGTAGTGCTTTCTCTCATGCCCTCACTTGGACTTCAGAGGAAAGGACAAGAATGGAGTCAGTTGGGGAATCAGGATATTTGCTATGTAACTATTGGAACTAGGACCACTTTAAGGTACGGGACTGGGAAGAAATTCAAATGTAGTCCTAATAGCAAATACAGTCATGTTCTGTTCTAAGCCCAAGAAATGTTTGAAACCTGTTTCTTATTTGAGCCCCATCCCATACCTTTACTATAGAAGTAACAGTATTATGTTGGCATCCTCGGAATTGGAAAACTATATTAATTGTTCATTATCATACCTACTGGGTTGACAATGACTCCATGTGGTCCTGTTTACTTTTCCAGCCTATTATTTTTGTTCTCTTAAGCTATGGCTTGGGCATTATTTTTTTTCTTTGAACTCATATTCATCTAAAATCCTCCTTGGTATCAAGCTACCAGTACTGACTGGATTAACATAAAAGTAACTCTGCCTATAGATGTAACATGAAACTACCATCTCTCCTTCTTAGCAGGTGAAAGGACACTTACTCCATAATACCATATAAAAAAGATGGTCTTTTGCAGATGTCTAGTTTGCCCTTTCAAACAAACGAATTTACGTTCTGTACAGGGTACCAAAGAGAATTTGGCCATCTTTGTATGGCAACTGACAAAGGTCAGGTAGAATGATGAAGAGTTAAGAAAGGTTGCTAAACAAGTTAATATAAAACGTGTGTGTGTGTGTGTGTGTGTGTGTGTGTGTGTGTGTGTGTGTGTGTGTGTTTGTGTGTTGAGTGCTGAAGGTGTGTGTGAGTGTGGTTGATGGGAATGCTGAACTAGGGAAAATGTTTATACATTGCAGGTCCATTATCTCATAGAGAACATCTTCATCTGGATGATTGCAGCAAGTCTCTTTCTCGGGAATGGTTTAAACTGGCCTGACTTCTTTAGCCTTGAGTGGGAGATGATTTCTGTAGTAGTTATACTTAACATGTGTACATGATGTTTCAAAAACATCTTTATATCCTTGTGCCCAGAGACATTTTTTATGTTTCTAAGTTCTCAGCCTTCCATAAACTGTTTGGTTTTCTTGAGTGCTGCTGTCGTTCTTTCAGTCTGTGACAATGACAAAAATGATACATGACTTTAACTGAATGCATCACAAATATTTATAAGGGCATAAAAGGTTGAATAACTTTATTGGAGTGACTCTCCATGTCCTTACATAGGCTTTGAGTTGTAACCATTTTGTGTTTTCATTACAGTGAAAATGAAAAGACATTTTATCAGATGGGGGGAGAAGTTCACTAATAATGACTCTCACTCACAATGTTTCTCTTGCATAAGAGTGATGATCAATATTAAATTACTCATAAACTCCTTTAGCAAAAGGGTTATCTTCCATTAACCCCTTCTTTCCCAGATGTTAGACTATTGAACTGAGTGTTACTTACCATATTGTAAAACTCTGCTTCCTAGATCCATCATCACCTCTGTAAACCTTTGTCTCCTGTTAGAAAACACCTTAACTCAAAAAAAATGGGGACTA